AAGAGTGAGTGACTTGAGTACTTCAGATCCAGACCTCACTTTATTAAATCAAGACAGCATGAAAAGGCATGAAAGATTTGAAGGGAACTGCCCCAAGAAAGTGGATTATAGTTCAAGTGATTTGATATAGATCAACTCACTCATGTGGGGAAGGAGGTTTTTATGGTCAGGAAAATGTTGGGGAGGGTTTTTAACTGTGTGACTTTTTTTAATAGATGATTTTAACCAACTGGTTAAATGTGAAGACAGAAGAACTTGTGATAAAACAATATGGCATATTTTGCCCTTTTTTTCAGGATCTCTATATGTTTTTTTCTGTTTTCTTCTGAAAATTGACATTCTGAATTTTCTAATGCTCCCACTCCAGAGAGCAGCAGTTTTTCAATCATGAAATAAAGTGGTTAACCTTTGGTTCATTTCTTCAAAGAAAATTTTGTAGTCTCCATGTATTAGCTTTGAACATGTGATTTGTAAGGGTATGTGAACCAATGAGCCTGGTCTGCATTGAAGAGCTGAAATTTTTGGCCAGGTCTTAGAGCTTGAGAGTAAAACTTGAGGATCCCAATATCCTTCTTGAAGATGAGTGGATAATAGAAGAGAAAGATTCTAGTAGTCCTGGTGTGCTGTGGGTCATAGGATGAGAGAGGTGCTTTAACCTCAGATCTGTTCTACCCAACAAGCAGTGTCACTGTACCCATCCCTGTGTGGTGTGGACAGCAGGTCAAAATTACCCTGAGCAGCTGCTGGTCAACCACTCTGAGTAGCACCCTGTGCCTGCAGCAGGCAAAGTGGTGGCCTTTTGTACTTTGTAGACTGCAGGGCCAAGACAGGGCCATTTAAAAGAAACTAAGAGCTATAAGGAAAAATACCAGGAATAACTACAGTAGGAAGTGCTAACAGATTCATTAGTCTGGACCTGTTCCTTTAATTAGTAAGAAAATTAGTAATATACCAGCAAGACATTTAATTTGCAGTAGGTGTCTGAAGTGGCATTGCTTCCCAGATGTGAAATGACCAGCCCATTAATAGCTGTGATCATGCAAAAAGGGGTTGTGTCCTGGCCAGATCTGAAGCTGGATTGATTTTATATCAGCACTACAATAATTCAGGCTAATAATCAACATTTATTTTCTTATTTCTATTTTCACAGCCTAAATGGTCTAAGTGTCTGTATGAATTATCCAATACTTGGCCTAGTGTGTCTTATGAGATACTTTTGGAAGAAATATGATAAATCATGTTTTGTGTGCCTGTAGTATCTCTCATATACAGCTATTCCATTTTCTTTAAGAAAATAAAAAAGTAAAAAAAAAAAATCTTAAAAGCCTGTGGACAAGAATTCCCAATCAGTAGGAATTAAAAATTAAGAATCTGGAAAGGAATGTTTTTCTATCCTGAAAGGCTAAGTAGTGATTGAAAAATACTATTTTTAGACATTGATGTTGATATTTAAAGAGAAGAAATTCCTGGATGGTTACTATGTGTCTGATATGAAAGATGCCATTACTGTGGTGGTGGAGTATCCTAGGAATGCAAGTTAGTTGGCTCAACAAAGGAGGACACTTCATGCTGCTGAACAACTGGTCTTTGCCCAGACTTGGAACTCTGACCTCAAAACCCAGCCTGAATATTAAGGGGTTTCAGAAACACTGAAAAGACAAAATGAGTAATGTTTTGGGATGATGTGGTAAATAAGAGATCTTCTATTTTAATACAGGAATCTGTACAAAGTACATAAAGAGCACTCTAAGAATGAAAGAGCAGGGCAGCCTGCTCCCCATTTTTACTGACTGTAATACAGTGCTCTGTCCTCTGGCTTCTGGCTTACTGCAGCTTTCCTTCCTCTTGGGGCTCACATGATCCTTCCCAGCAGTCTGCCTACTGCTCCTCTGCAGACCAGGTGTGGCACTAGCAGCCTCACCTGTTCTGGGATGTGGCACTGTGGTGTTCCTTTTCTGGTGCTCATGTGGTTAGGGTTTCAGACAGCTTTTAAAACACCAGGCTATCATGTCTGTTCCTGTGTGGTTTTGTTGTTGTGTTAAATTTTTCTTATTTTACAGAAGTTCCTTGCCATAAACTGAACGCATGGCTGTTGTGTGGAGGGTCATGCCATGGGATAGCTGAGTGTCAGGGATCACTGTCCTGTCTCAGGCAGGGGCAGCACTCTGCAGGCCTCTCCAGGCCTTTAACTCCTGCCCCAGTGGCTAAATCATGTTTGCTGCAGGAAACCTTCCTTGAGAAACATCTTAGCTGTTACAAATAGAAAGATGGTAGATGTCATGTTCTTCAAACATGCAAAGTTGCTGTTTTTTGCATTGTTTTTTGAAAAGTAAGAACTGTGGGGTTTGGGTTGGTTTTGGTTTTGACAACAGAACATAAAACCCTCAGAAGTTCCCCTGTTCTTTTTCCAGGGATATGAGAAAGCAGAGCATGAAAAAAGTACATATGTTGCAGTGTTTGTTATATCTGTCCATATTTTGGGTGTTTAAATTTTGAGACAGAAGTCAAAAATTTTTTTTTTTTACCAAAAAAGAATGAGACAGTTCCTCAATATTAGTGACCTAAAGAGCCTCCTGCATTATTGACAACTCTTACTTGCTAGGTGAATGTCTTCAAGACAAGAATTTGACAGTCATTATGCCAAGTTCAGAACCTGTATAGCAAGGATAAAGTTAATAATCCTTTTAGGAGTTAAATCTTAGTGAGGTGGGGGAGAAAAGTATGTTAGAAGATACTTTGGTGCTAACTTAGTGCTACTGCAGTTACTAGTAGGATCTTATCATCAATTTGTAGAATTCCATGCATGCTTGTGGTGTAAAATTTAGCATTATTTCTAAAGTTTTGTTAATTTTTCATTAAGCAGATCTTTTAAGCCAGGAGACTTACTATCCCAAGCTGGTGTCTATCTCATAACTGAAATCTAGGTGCTGTGCAGTTCCAAAGGAGAACAAAACTTAACTTTGGGAAAAGTTAAAAAAATCTTTCTTTTATCTTTCTTTTTTTCTCTTTTTGTTCATTTTTCAAAAAAAAATTGTCTAACCTTAATTCTAAGTACTTTGTAGATAACATGTTCGTATATTACAAAAAAGTAAACCTGTAAAAATCAGAGCCACTGGCAGTACTCCTCCTAGCCTGATGATTGTTTTGGGGGACTTATTAAATATATGCCTCCAAGAGGACAAATTTGCTGACCATACAGCATAAGCAGACAGACAAATTGCTGGTGTTTTAACAAGAGTCTCTGTTGCTCTTCATCCCTTTAAAAGAAGACAGGAAAAAGGCTTCAGGAGCCTTGCTCTGCAGTGACCTTTATTTCCCTCCCTGATGAGTGCAGTCCCTGCAGAGGGGCAGAGGGGGCTGGCTGTGGGTGCTGCAGAGCAGGCAGGCAGGGACACTGCTGGCTAGGAATTCATCACAACAAACTACTTGATCCACGTTCTGAAAATGCCCTGACTTACAGGGCAAGGGAGGAATGTGGAAACGTGAGGGAAGCTGTGGAGTGGCTGGCTCTGAGCATGTTTGCTCATTTAAATTCTGTGGCAATCCCCCTGTCATTGAGTTCTTTGTGAATTAAGCTCATAGCTGCTTTGTCGTGTGCGGCATTTTAATAAGGTCAGACTTAGAAAACTGTTCATTTACTTATTGTCTACTCACCATCGTGTCCTTTCTCTGTTCAAGCAGAATTTGTACAAGCTGTAGCTTAATGTTTGGGTTTTTTCTTTTCTCTGAAGGAATGCAGACACTGTTACAAAATAAGCCATAGGCCCTTTCCCATGCCAGGGGCTGGGCTCAGCCTTCTTGCTGAGAAGAGAGATTTCCCAGCTGATGTTATCAAAACAGACACAACTGAGGCAGGGAGAGGTACCTAGCCAAGTGGAATAAGGTTGCAGGATTGCTGATTTCCACGTCATGATTTCAGACTGTAACACGTTTTCTTTTAATGAATGGGAATAGTGAGATAAAGACTCTCGGAGCAGGAAACCTTGTGAACTTCAGGAAGCTAATGAGTTCGTTCCCTGCCTCCTTGTTTTTCCCACAAGCTGGAGTTCAAAATAGTTCTCTATTCTCATCCAAGGAAGACGTGCAAAGATATGCCGTGACCTGAATTCAGCTGGACTGAAAGGAAGATTGTGAGGGGCCAAACACCATCACAAAACCATCGTCACTGACTGTTGATCAGACGTAGCTGAGTACGCTGGGAATAGTGCTGGTTTGTGCTTTCTCAGAGCTCACTTCCAGAAGCTCTGCTGGGGCAGGCTGTTAACAAGCTCTTCCTGATCTCACAGGAACAGTTTTAGTCCCTGATTTTTATTGGAGCAAGTCCCTGATATTAAATATAAATTAATTGTGTCAGTCCTAGTCCTGGAATGAAACGTGAATTGATTATCTCAGCTTTATCTGTGTGATAAGATTCTGACATACCCATACTGAAGTACAAGCTTATGTATTTTTAGTAGTTCTTTACATTATGTTATGTGTAATAATACTGTTTTATGATTGATAGACTAGGTAGAATCATAGATCATTCAAATGAACTCACTACATATCTCCTTTGTCCTTCTTTGTTACATCTCTTCAGTGCTTTCCTTTCTATGAATAAAGATCTTATTGAATACTGCCCAGAAGTAGCAGCTGCAGGGAAGAAGAGTTCTTCAAAATGTAGTATCTGATGTCAGGAGACTACAGGAATTTTTTTTAAAGCCTCCTATCCTTGAGCTCTGGCCTTGAAATTCTGGCACTCTTTCAGTGCCACAGAACTGGGCTTTGTGTAGTATATATGCAGTCAACGTGCTGACCTGTATTTCTGATGGAAAGGTGATGAAAAGAAATAGGTAAAATTTCAAGAGGGAGGTAGCACCAGTACTAAGAGGGTAACACTTTTCAAGCATCTTGTCAGCAACATCTGGTTTAGTCTTGAGGAACAACTTTGCCATTTCACATCTGTTTTCTTAAAAGTATTTTCTTTTCAAAAAAAAGTGTTGAGAATTTTGTGGTAGGTATAATTTAAACATCTGTAAAGGTTCCAGGACTGAAAACTGAAGTTCCTCTTCACCCCCAGCCCTTGGTTTATTTTATGACTGCGTTCTCTTGTCCTTCCTGTGCATGGACCTCCCGTGTACAAAACAGCCAGTGTCACTTATTTCATTGTGGATGCAGAATTTATAAAAACTGAGCCGTGGTTCTTTTATCCATAGGCATTGTTGAAGCTGGGAATGTATTGAGATGGGGCCTATTTGTTGTGGCATTAATAGATAGTGACATGTTGCTGTATATTTGACAGTGAAGACTGTGTTTAAAAGTAAGAGTTCTCTTACTTAAACTTCCAAGAACAGACACGTGAAATAATTCTGATCAAAGTAACAAGTTTTTGTTCTATACATTTTATGTACAACAGCTTAACCCCACTCTGTGCTTCTATTTTTAAAAATAAAGTGATTATTAACTCCTGAACAGTTCTGTAAATCACTTAATGCTTGATAGTCTATCCTCTTCTTACTCGTGGACTTATGTACTCACAAATCACAGTTGAGTGTGAAAGGTATGAAGATATTACAGTGTCTGTTACTGCCTTCAAAATATTGAAACAATTTTCTTTACATTTTAGTGAAGGGAATCTGGCCACCAAGCAAGTAATTTTTCTTCAGAGACCTGTTATGTGGAATTCTGCTGTCCAAACACCAGAGGTGAGTAACATATTTCTGGTATTGATATAAACAAATTAATACTTCATGTAATGGTTAGGTACAGAAACAAACTAGACTTCAACATTAATGGGGAAAAATTGGCAGAAGAGGGTTTCACTTGAAACAAGTTGAAGTTTGTAGAGGGATTTTGCAGCTGAATTAATGTTGGTTTTTTTTATCAGCTGTATACCTTTTAAGTTAAGCCATAGATAAAAGCTTCAGCATGCTGAAAACCTGTTTTGTGCTAAGAAATTCCTGTGTCTCAGGTGGATGAGCGAGGTTGGCTATGCTGTATTTCTTTTGAAGTCTTCAGGAAGTCTTAAAAGTTCCAATTCAAATCCTGGACCTGTTGCACATGAAAAAGAAAGCACTTCATTTTGATCTCCAAAATGTTTACCTTCATGCTTGTGAAAGAGCACAAGTGTGAAGCTGTGCAAGGAATACTGTAATCTGGAGGTTCAGAGGGTGAAGGGGTGTTAGCTGTTGCTGCATGGAAATGTGTGACAGAAATAGGATTTTAAATTTCTGCAGCTGGACCTCAGCCACTCCTTGTCCCTTCTGAGTGATGCTCCTATAGTAGTGGTTGTGTAAAAGTGCTTTAAGGATTGATTTACTAGCAGTCACCATGTTCTGCTCAGAGTCAAGGTGACAAGTTCTCCTCCCTGTGTAGGACTACAGTAAGCCCTGCTGTGGCTAGAGAAGGATGAACTGCCTGTGGGCTCTTCTTGGCCAAGTCTTATCAACAGTCTGTTACTGCTACATGTGTTTACCCCTGCTTAGTGTTTCTAAAATACACTCTCCCTTTTTCTGTTCTGCTCCAGGCTTTTGTTTATCTCCAGCATATCTTCATTCTCACTGTGTCCACTGATAGGTACTGCTTCCATATCACTGCTTCCATACCAGGGACAACTGTATTCAACATGCCCAGTTAAAGTCCTGGGTTTTATCTCTGCTGCCAGCTCAATTCCCAGCTAGTTCTTGTACACTATGATTTATTTCCTCACAAAATTTGAGCTGCTGCTTTTTTCTCTTCAGTGTTCTGTGTAGTTGCTCTTGGTAATGTCTTAATCTTCTTCCCTTCATACCATCTTCTAAATTGTGACAGTTCCTCATATAATTTTTGTTCTCTTAACTTTCTTCTAAGTACAAGCATCTTCAGGTTTTACCTTTTGAAAGCTCCTGAGCCCTGCTCTTATGCCAGATGTTGTAGTCTTTACATTTTTTCAAAACACATTTCTGAATGTGTATTTTGGAATATAATTGTGGTATCATTATTATAAATATATAAAACCTTATTATGGCAGTCATTATCAAATAAAATATTTTTCCTGATTCTTCCCTGCTTTAAGTACCCTGTATAATAAGGGCATGGACTCCTGATATGAATACTCTTCCCTCAGTCAGGCATGTTATTTCTAACTATAAGCATCACTTAAAAGCCAGCATGACTAGATGGACACAAGTTGGAATGGTTAAGACTTGATTCTGCCAAGAGACCTAATACAGACAGCTCTGTAAAAACATTCAGTCTGAGGAACTGATGAGTCTTTGAGACTTGGTTTAAATTAAAAATACAAAGGGAAACCTTTGACTTAAGCATTAATATGCTGGGAGTAAACAAGAAATAGCTGATTTGTAGCCATTTACTTCAGGATTACTGCATTTAAAATTTGAATGAACTTAGTATCTGCATGTGCTTTTTAATTAGCAGTGAATGTTGTACTTCTCCAGGAAATTTCAGTATGCTGAGGTCATTTTAGCAGGGCATAAATAGGTGGTTCAAGCTGGAGCTGAAACATTTAGCAGAGTATCACTTTCCATCAGTTTTTCCAGTTAAGCTGCTTTTCACCTAAATTTTAATCTTGTTACTTCATTGATTTTTTTTTTTTTAACCTGAAATGGCAAACAGCATATTACATTCATGACAATTTAAATCCATAGATTTGTTACTAATACCAAGCTGGTATAGGATGCCATGCTAGCTTTGCATTGAGTAGCTAGATTTCAGGTGCAAAAGAAGCTACTGAAATTTTAAATAAACATATTGAAGCTTCCAGAGCAGAAGTTAATGCTTGCAAATGTCCCTTGGAGACTGAGGACACAGCTGTACAACTTCATCAAACCCTTGCAAATATTTTACTAAAAACATTTAATTCTCATGTTCAAATTAAATTAAAGCTGTTTTTAAAAAAAAAAAATCACATCCACAAGGTAGGAATTTTTTGAACCCCAGAATACTTAAGATACCAGAAATGGTTTAAGTTAAAAAAAATTGCATCACAGTTTGTATTTATTTAAGCATACCCTTAGTGTGCTTGCAGCTCATGTACCCCAAAAAGAATGCTGCCTATGAGAGAGTGAAAATACAAAACCAACAAGGCTCTTTCATTACTGCAATAAGAAAGCAGCCTCATAGAGGCCTCCTCACACACTTCACTCTCAAGCCTCCAGAGCCCAGTGGCATCACTTCCCAGCTCTCCAGAGTGCAGCAGGGCCTGGCCACGGCAGGAGCTTTGCCCCACGGGCAGGTCTGAGTGTTGGACATCCATGGCTTGCATTCTGGAGGATGGCAGCCCAGGGTGGGGGTTGCCTTGTGGACTCAGGACTGGTGGGTTTTTTTGGAGGGTGAGAGGGTGTCTAAGCATTGCCATTTCTAAGGGAAGTTTTGCCTCAAGTAAAAACTGAGGGGGAAAACCCCTATTACCTAGTCTCTTCTTCCCACAGGGTCTCTTTTCTGAGGGTGTACTTCATGTCATACATTATGGCCTGGCCTTTGATTTAGATAATGGTTCAAAGGCCTCTTGCATTAGAAGGGCTGTACTGTTCCTAGGCTCTTTGTTTATCACATACCACTTGCATTTTTAAGATGGTAGTTCAGAGGAGGATATCCAAGATTGAACCACACAGTGCTTGAGTGTTTTCTGTTTTATTCTTTTCTATTTTTTCCTTTATTTCCCTTAAGCAGAATTCTCCATCCTCTTACAGTGGCATCCAGTCAAAGCCTATTTCCTTCTGTTCCTCCTGAGGCAAAGCCTATTTCCCCTTACTCTAATTTGCCAATGTCTCTTGTAACAGCTTCCCTGAATGCATTTCCTTTAGCCTCAAAGGCCTTTGTTTTTACTGTTTCAAAAGGGCTTGAGGAAAAAAAAAGCAATGTATAGAAGGGAAGAACATGCCAGAGCATGGCAAGAAAACTTGTGAGGTGTTTCTGGTTTTGGAATGTTTGCATTTGTGTAAATCCCTCTGCAAGTGTGCTTGTGTCCTCTACCCAGTGAAATGCAGCTCTGTGCTGAGGCTGGAGTTTTTATCTAGATGTCCTCCTCCTGTGGATAGGGCTGTGTCCCCTGGCAAAGCATCTCCTGGCTTAGCAGCGCTTGTGCTGACAGCAGGGCTCCAAGCAGACAGCCAGAGTGCTTCTGCCTCCCAGACCACGCTCCCCTGCTGTGGCTCAGGGCACTGACATGGCCTCTGGAGGTGCTACATCATCATGGATCTGGTAGCTCCTGATGCTAAAATGAAGTCAGCCTTTGATTGATCTGTGATGCCTCGGAGGACGCTCAGCATAGTCTGAGAGAACTGGTTTTTGCCCAGTCTGCTTGTTTCTCTTCTGGACACGGCCAGCCATCACTTCAGCAAGAATCGTGTCAGGAGATCCCAGTACTCATGTCACACTCTGTTTATACTGAGTTCTTCCTGTGCAAGCTCCCTTTAGACTCTCATTTCAACTTGCTGTACAGGGCAGACAGACTTCTATCTCCATACATCCACCATGTGGACTGAACATAACTCTCAAGAAACTTTGTGTTACCTGAGGAGGCCTCTGAAGGTGTCTGGGCAGAATGGGAAAGCATAGGAGTCCCTCCATGAGATGGATCAGTGGGAAGTTTTCAGTCACATGAAACGGTCAGATCACGGTCTTAAAGAGCTCTGTGTTGATGGAGTTTGGTTCACATCTTTGTCAAATATTGCACTCTTGTTAAAGTTTCTAGACAGAACTGTTTGGAGAAGTGATCAACGTCCATGGATTTGCAGAACAGGACAGTGTGCAGATGAGGCACTAGCCCAACCCTGGATATGGTGGCATGTAGACATGAAGGAGAGTGAAGGTCTACCTGCAGTGGTAGCTTTTTTTTCCTTTCCTAAATAAGTTAACATTTTAACATCCTGTTGTATTTCAGAGGAAATCCTTAAGACAAGTTATCGTGGAGGAGAAAGGCAGAGTCTCCAGCAGAAGTGTTGGATTAGACACAGCCACTTCTCGCCCTGTGGAAATTGGACAACCACCTGATGAGTTTCACCTATCTCCATCGAAACAATGCTGGATCAAGGAGGGATCCTCCCAGTATGGAGGCTTTCCAGGATTCAGTAGCAGTGATGGAGTATTGAGGGAACTGGATGATGGACAATTTGACCAGGAAGATGGAGTCACTCAGGTCACATGTATGTGAGAGTAAGTAACTGCATCAGATGGACATGTGCATAATTCACAAAAATGTGGGTTTTAAAAAAAATCATGCTACTTCAGATGCTTTTGTATAATCCTAGGACTTTTCCCCAACTTATTTTGTACTTTTGTCTGTTCCTTTGTTGTGTTAATCCTACTGTAGGAATAGTACTAATGCAAAATAACTTGGTTTTCTCTCTTTAATAGAATAACTATGTGCCTGGGTGCTCTGCTAACTTGTTAATGCTTTTGACAAGCAAGGAAGCAAATGCTGCAAAACAGTGACAGTTTGGATTGTGTAAGAGAGAAAGGAATGATGATGTGTTTAGTGTTCTCCATAAACTGGAGGATTGTTCTGGTTTTTTGGTTTTGTTTGGTTTTTTTTAAAGAGTCTTGTAAATATTGGTGGGGAAAATGAGCTGTCTGGTGGCTGTTAAGTTTTAATGTCATTTTCACTTTACTTGCCTTGCATAAATTCAAAAGCCTTGAGAAATGTTAAGTCTTAGACTAGTGTTAATAATTTAAGCTACGTTCAGAGTTGGTATGTGCAGAAAACCTCTGGAGGCTGGAGGCAGACACTTGCTCCTGTAATATAATTGTACCTGTGCAGGTTTTACAAGGTTCCTCATACATCTAAGCCAAAAGCTGTCTGAGGACATAGCTTATATTATGATGTATTCACAGCTTACTCAGGAGTAAAAATTAGGAACTGCTCACCCCCGGAAGATAACTTGTAGTCTGTTGAAAAGTAGTTTGAAAAACTCACTGAGAAGTATTGACAGCAAGGTGTACAGTGCTGCTGATAATGTATGGGAGGAAAAAGTAGGCTAAACTTCATAGGAAATATTCACTCATAGACTCTATACAAATATGTTGATGTATATAGGAAAAAATTCTCAGCTAAATATATCTCACACTGGGCAAAGTGTGCTCAGCTGCATTGGGTAACAGATGCAATGCACAGAGGAAGGGGTGTGGTGGCTGTGCTCCCATCCTCACCATGGGGAGGAGCTGCTTGCATTAAGGGCTGTTAGCACTGGCACGGCCCTGGGGAGAGGCATGGACAGGAATTACTGTTATGCTGCTGTCTTGAAATTAGGTTTTAAGAGAAGAAGAATAAAAATGCTTCTCTAGAAAGTAAATGTGATCATAACTAAAAATTGCAGTTTTCAGTTAGCTTTAGAAGCAAAACCTGTAACTACTTGTCACACTTAAGCTATAATAGAAGATAGTTTGGGTGTGATGAGAAGTCAGAACAGAACTGAGCCAGTGTATTCACAACACTGCTCTCAGTGTTTGCAGTGCAGCACACACAACACCAGGGATTGTGACACCCCTCTGTGTGGGGTGTACTGCAAACACTGAGAGCAGTGCTGGGAATAAATACATTTAGCTCCAGCAGGACCCCACCAGCGTCCTGCGAGGCTCCCTGTCTGCAGCAGTGGATGCTGGCACTGAGTGGGTAGATTAATGCAGTGACAGGAACACTGATAACTGACCCTGAACGAGCTGACCAGTGGTCCTTGCTTGAGGCTGGCAACTCAGTGATGAGGAGCCATGCAGACAGAACACTGGCAGGAGCTGCTTGTTTCAGTACGCAAAAAGTAACTTCTGGAAAAAAAAGTTTCACTTGCTGTGATAAGCAAAAGTGGCACAAAGCTTTAGTGTTGTTTCAATTTATTTTTGCAGGGAGAGGCATGAGGGAATCCCTTTCTACTTGCATGATTGTTACAAGCATGAAGTGATTATTGCTTTGGAGCTGCTTCCCATTTTCATTATGAAGTTATTGTAGGTAGGCTTGTTGTTTATTTTTCATTTTGGAAGAGCAACTCTTTACAACTGGTTTTAGCAGATTTGAGGTTTTAAAAAATTTAAAAATCCAGTTTGGGAGCTGGAGACATTCCTTCAGCTTCTCTTTTCTGTTGCACATTGCTGAAAAGGGCTGCTTCTATTTTCTCACTTGAGTTTCTTAAGAATAATGCTGGCAGCATGGCTAGGTAGTTCTGAAGCCATGGCAGTGGGGCAGCAGGAGGAGCAATGGGGGCACGGGAGTTCCTGTGTGAGCAGCCACAGGAAGACATCCATTCCTGCCAAGGCTGCTCCTCCCCACTTTCCCACCAGCATCTCCAGGTCACAAACCTCACATTCGTTTCCTGTCTGGGGGCAGTGTGTGGAGGGGAGAGTGCAGGACTGGGGTGCTCCCCACGGACCCCGGCCCAAGCGCCGCTCTCCCCGCAGCCTGGCACCCTGTGAGCAGCAGCCCTGGTCTCACTGGGCAGGGACCCCCTCGTGGTGCATGCATGTGGAAGAAATTGTGGAAATGCCTGTTACATCTGTCTCTGGCAGAAAGCCAGGCACCTCCAGCAGATTAAAAATGGGGCAACAGCTGCTCTTCTGCAACTTGGAATAAGTTGCTCTACTTCTAAAAGTGTTTCACAGAAGTTATCCAAAACTTGTGTGTGTGATTTTTCTTTTAACTATGGGTGGTACCCAGTTAAAACCAACAAAAACTGGTTAAAACCCCTAGGAATTCTGAATATTCCAAGTCAAAACTTTTAAAGTCTATTAAAGAAGTTACTCTTTATAAATCAGTATCCCTGCTTAAGGTGGTTAACAGCAGTGAATCCTAAACCAAAACTGAACTACAACTATTTAAGCAAGTTACAATGTATAAAGTAATAAATTGAATCTTTCTAGAATGCATTAATTGGAAAAAAAATCATTTAAATTTTAACTGAGATCTTTTTGTATCAGCTGTTGAGAATGGAGAAAACTCAAATTAGTATCTAAATGGGATGTACACAAGGGAGATTCTGATTTGGAACAGGGGTAGAAACTGAGCATGTGCTGGATATCCACAGGTACATTCCAGAATATCCCCACTTCTAGTAAGAAAGGTGGTGGTGCTTAAAATTAAATAAAGCCATACTCCTTTTCAGTAGCCCACAGTTTTAACTGTGCTGTGGTCCTTGCTTGTGACTCTCAGTCAACAGGTGTTGACTCTGCTGCAAACCTCTGAATTTTTTTAGTCTTTTTGATTCAGTGTAAATATGCAAAATTGTCTCCTCTGAACCCACTCAGCAATTTCTGTATAGTTAAGGACAGCTGGCTGATTTATTTTTTTTAAAGCCATTTGTCTCACAGTCTGTCAAATTGCCCCTGCTGTAGAATTGTTATCTAGAATGTTTCCCTAGCTCTCTATTGTCCTTCACCTCACAGGGCTACATTTAGGTTCTGTTTTAGGGAAAAAAAAAAAAACCACACAATTCTTCACCTGGAAAAAATGTCAACCTGACAGGGGCCAAGATCTCTGTCTGTGACGTGAGTGGAATGGAAAGCACAGCAAAGGAGTAAATTCCTCAGCATTCTTTTTGGGATACAAAAACTCAAGGAAATCATGGAAGTGGCAAGTAGGAGGTCTGAAATTAAATCACAGCATCTATCCAGCTAACTGTAGAACTCCTTGCTGCATGGTGCTGTATATAAACTGCATGGATTTAAAAGGAAAAACATTGCCCTATTCTCTCTGAAAGTCGTGGAACCAGAAACTGTTGGAGACTCTGGAAGCTGTTGTGACTGATTGCATGCTTCATTCCTGGTGGGCACACAGCTGAGAGTGCTCTGCTGCAAGGCTGCTCTGCAAAACCCAGGGGGAGCTGCTGGCTCAGCCTGGCACGAATTACCTCACCTCATGCACTGGTTGAAGAACAGAGTAAACCACCCATCTTCCCAATCAATCTAGAAATGATTGAAAAGGCTTCTAAAACTATGAAGAGTTTGTCTCTGTTTTGACCTTTGTAGTTAAAAATTCCCAAAGCCAACTCTATCTTGCATGGAAAAGTCATTTTGGGTATAGGGGATTCTAATTTAAGCTACTTGTTTCATCACCTGGATATTGTGACCAGCACTGCCCATGGATTAAGTTTGTAAATGAGAAGAGCTGTCAGAGAACTCTGGCAAGATTTTTTTGTATGTTCCTATCTTATATATATACACACACACAAAATCCAGTTTTCATTTTACCAGAATATAGTTTATATACTCATTTTTTTACTAAAAAAATTGCCAGTCAAACTTAATACATGATGCATTCTCTAACAAAAGTATTTTATTCATTCAATAACGGCTTCAATTAGGAGCCTGTGTGTCTGACATGCAATCAAGAAGTCCTGTAGGTGTAGGTGACAATGGAAATGCCCTGCAGCTTCTAGAACTGAGACAGCAGGCAACCAGTGCTCTTCCTGAACCTCTACAAAAGACTGTTTACACTTGGTGATCCTTAAATTGTTTGGAGAGGAAATACTTTTCTAGTGTTTACAAACAGGAAGAAACTATACACTGTACAAAAATAATAATAATTGTGCCCTGCTTCTAATTGTGGGACAGTTTATTTACATACCTGGTCAACCACAATAAACTGCTGCTTAACTTCTGTGGTTTTGGTCTGTAAAACAATGAGTTCTTTTTGTGAAGCTAAGATCTTTTTAGTCCTGCTAGGAGGTTTCTCACTATTAAAAGCACTTGGCAACTCAGCTACCAGTTTCTGTATCAGGTTTGTCCATAGTGACATCAAGTGGGTTGGATCCATGCAGGACTTCCCTCAAGCTGCAATTACTCCTGGGCAGCCCAGGCTCTGCAGCCACACAGCTCACAGCATGAGCTGATGAGGTTTTCCTTGTTCTCAGTGCATTCATCTTTTGAAGGTAAAAAAACACAGGTGGTTGTCTTGACCATTCCCTGTGGGTTAGTTTAGAGAACAGCAGTAGTTAAGATTTAAGATTTTTCAAAGCTGAGTTCCTCTATTGGAATTTAGGGAACTGCTGTGAATTAAAGTGAACATTCCTGGCTTCAGGTAAGCAGAGCTCAAGAGAGACAAAAGTGTGTTAGATGGAACAGGTCTGGTCATGTGTTCTGATCTGTGTCTCTTCTTAATTTTAAGACCCAGCATTTTCTGATTTGAGAAACGTGTATGTTTGAGGTCTGACTTCAAGATGTTAATGAGTTTTGCATTTCTCTACTTTGGAAAGAAGAAACACAGCTTTACTTCAGCACACCTTGTAGTAGAGATGGGAGCACACCAAACCTCCTCCTGGAAGCACTCAGTTGCCTGCATTCTTGGACAACATGAAAAATGAGAATAACTTGCCAAAATATAGTGGTATGGATAAAGAAGCAGTTTAATTTTATCCTTTTTTTTTTTACAATATAATT